AGTTATATTTTATTTAATAGAAATAAAGAAATAATCAATAAAAGTTATAACATTTTAACAATGGAGAGGCCTGGTTTCTCTACTGAATTAAAGCCATGTGGAATAGTCCTTCATCATATATCTATGGACAGAGATATAGACATAGATGTAGACAAACATATGCACACATACACACAATAAGAAGACTGAATAAAGCAGGTGTAAGGTCAGCAGCCAGCACTCCCCTATTTTTAGCACACAGTAGGATTATATTCGCCTCCACTCTGCTTGAAGTTAGGTCCAACTTCAAGTCATGATTGTATGATTTCCAATGAAATGTCGGTGGAAATGATATAAAGCACTTCTAGAGGGAATAATTTAATGTGTATGATTTAAAATTAGCAGACAGACTCTTCAACTATCTTCTTCCACTGACATGGAGATTATGAAGTAGGTCTTTATAAGGAGGTGCAATGCTGAGACATTTTATGGCTTTGTAGAGTTACCCAACACTGGAGCAAAATTCCCACAAGGCAGAAATGATTGTGTTTTTTCAAGTTATGAAACTTCTGAGCTGTCTGTACTGCAGCAAAACTTAGTCCTTATGAGGTTATATAACCTTCATATAATGTTTAAAGTAAATTTATGACGGAAATAAACAAAAGTATAGGTTTCTGCATTTATTTTGTAAGTCCAGATAAATATTCTGTTCATGAATTTGTTCAAAAGTTATTTCACCAGAAATTTCTATAATATTATGTCTCAAAGCTCTATATGTAATTTTACTAATGTGATCTTTCCCCTTAAGGTTATCACAGTAATTTTCTGATCCACAGAAAATTAGAAACATTTGTGACACATACAAAACACTAATTCTTGGGGAATAACACAAAAACCTCCTACTTTTATTTAGAATTATGAAGGGTTATCTAATTGCAGGAAAATATTTTAAAGTTCCTAGAAATCTAGTTCCTAAGTACTTTTTTTAAAAAAAAAAAATCTCAGAGTTATAAAATGCTTGCTTTGAGGAAGACAAAATATGTGTAAGTGTCCAGCAAATAATAGGTATTAAATAAATATTTTCTGAAGAATAGAGTCTTCATTAAATATTTCATGTAATTGCACCAGATTTTGTAAAGGTTATTACCAGCGACAAATAGCAGTAGATTCCCCATTGATGTGGCTTTTCTGTGGTTTCCATTTAAAATTATGTTTTGAATTTATGCCTTTATGATTTACTATATAAACACCTATGATTTTCCAGCACAGCTTGCTTAGGATGCAGCTACTAGACTTAATTAAAAATTATGGAAGTCTCACCCTTTCACACTAAGTGGATGATACATATCTAAGAGCAATCATAAATTTCTGCCTTTAAAGCATTTCATGACCTTTCCGTGTGAGGCATCATGTCTACAGAAATAATGATCTGGTGAGTTCTGCAAGCACGGCAAAATCTCCATCATGTGACTCATGGGGCGAAAAGTCACTCATTACTAGTCACACAGCAAGTGTCTGCAGAGTATAATGGATTTATAGGAAGCGGGGTGACCACAGATTTAATTTTAATGAAGTTCAGGACATAATCCGAGTTGATAGAGTTTGAAGTCTGAATGTAATCTATACAAGGTTAAAGTTATTGTTTGACAACACAGATAACATAATTTTCTCTCTAAAAGGAGCTATTTTTTATAAGGTTCCATACATACACCTTTTTTTTTTTTTTTTGGTAGCAAAAAGATGCATTTATTTTAAGATGACAGGAATAAAATTTGGGACACTACGGAAAATTGGAAATTTTCCCATATGTTGACTTTTTAAAAATATATTTTTTCTCCCATGACTTAAGGCCAAGGAAGTTATATTTTTGTATAGATGTTACATATACAGATAGCAAGTTGGATCAAATAAGAATACTTTTAGGTTTTCATCACTAAAATGTTTCATAAACAGAAAAATAAAATAGGTAACCTGAACACTCATCCAAAATTAAGTATTTGGGAGTATACATAGAGAAACACATGCTTACTACAAAGAGAAATCATCATTTATTCTATGAATGAGAAGAGCCATTCAGCTTAATCACATTTAAATAACACATACCTATATAATCCTGAGACAGAACATGCCTTAATGTGACTGAAGTTGATTTACTTCTGTGTTTCCCTTACTCCTGTGTTCTTTTCCAGAACGACAAGATTAAGTATGACATTGTATCACCAAGTCACACAGAAGCCAAATTAGCATTGGATATAAGCCTGAGAGACAATTACTAAGAGCCTTCTATTTCCTGACAATGAAGCAAACACAAGTGGGGTATGAATACATGACAAAACATGCTTTATGCACCCAGTAGGATGAAGTGATCAAAGAACAACATTTTTTAAAATGAACACAATCTACGTATGAGATTATGGATCTCAGAGCCCATGGTCAGAAAACTAAATGGTTGAACATTCATGTAATATTCAGTCAAGCACCAGCCATGCTGATGTTTATTTTTTAATTAAGTTTATTATCCTATCTAATAATAGAGAAACATGGTAATTAACCGTAACTTTGCTACCCTTCCCATTGGCTAATCAGGGCGATATGCAAATTAACTGCCAACCAAGATGGCGGCCGGCAGCCAGGCAGCTGAAGCGAACAGGAGGCTTGCTTGCTCCAGTGAAGGAGGATGACAAGGTTCCCCGCCTGCTGCTGCTGGGCTCTGAGCTGCACTCTAAGAAACAATGTTGCAAATATAGAAGCTAAAGAAAACCCAGAAACCTGCTTTCAGCCAGCCAGCAGCTGCAACAGTGTTTCAATGATAAAAGCCAAACAAACCCAGACCTGCTTTCAGCAGCAGAGGTCTCAGAGCTGGAGCCGAGCCTCAGAGCTAAAGCCGGCTCTCAGTTCCAGTGACAGCCATAGAAGGTAAATAAATCCCAGAATAAAAAAAAAAGAAAGAAAAAAAGGAGAGGTTGGGAGCTTCAGTCACCCACCAGCCTGAAAACGGCCCTCAGCCCCTCACCCAGACTGGCCAGGCACCCCAGTGGGGACCCCCACCCTGAAGGGGGTGTGACCAGCTGCAAACAGCCATCATCCCCTCATCCAGGCTGGCCAGGCACCCCAGTGGGGACCCCCAGCCTGAAGGGGGTGCAACCAGCTGCAAACAGCCATCAGCCCCTCACCCAGGCTGGCCAGGCACCCAAGCAGGAGCCCCATTCTGATCCAGGACACCCTTCAGGGCAAACCAGTGGGCCTCCACCCGTACACCAGGCCTCTATCCTATATAGTAAAAGGGTAATATGCAAACTGACCCCAACAGCAGAAGGACTGGGAATGACTGGTCACTATGACACACACTGACCACCAGGGGGCAGACGCTCAATGCAGGAGCTGCCCTCTGGTGGTCAGGGCGCTCCCACAGGGGAGGAGCTCTGCTCAGCCACAAGCCAGGCTGATGGCTGCCAGTACAGTGAGGGTGGTGGGAGCCTCTCCCGCCTCTTCTGCAGCACTAAGGATGTCCAACTGCAGTTTAGGCCTTCTCCCCACTGGCAAGTGGACATCCCCCGAGGGCTCCTGGGCTGCCAGAGGGATGTCTGATTGCCATCTTAGGCCCAATCCCCCCGGGGAGCGGGCCTAAGCCAGCAGGTGGTCATCCCCTCAGGGGTCCCAGACTGTGAGAGGGCACAGGCTGGGCTGAGGGACCCCCACCCCCAGTGCACAAATTTTCGTGCACTGGGCCTCTAGTTGAATATATTTGCCTATTTATGAGAAGGTGGAGTGTGATTTCAAAGAGAAAAACTGACTGCTGAAAGAGAGAAAAACCACATCTGGAATTGTGGGAGCCATTTTTACAAGTTTAATGCTTTGAACTAGAAAGAATTTGAATTGTTAGGTAGGAAAAAAGGGAAAGTGAGCTCATGTTTAAAAGTCTTTCTTCTTTTATTAAAGACTAGAGGCCCAGTGCATGAAATTCGTGTATGGGAGGGTGGGGGGAATCCCTCAGCCCAGCCTGCACCCTCTCTAATCTGGGACCCTTCAGGGCATGTCCAGCTGCTCTCCCCTGCCAGCCTGATTGCCCCTAACTGCTCTACCCTACTGGCCTGACTGCCCCTAACTGCCTCTTCCCCGGCCCCCGCCACCGCGTGGCTTTGTCCAGAAGGATGTCCAGAAGATGTCTGGTCTATCCATTCTAATTAGCATATTACCCTTTTATTAGTATAGATTTGCTTTTAAGATTAATTTTGGGGAACAGAAGTGAAACGGGTTTTAGGGATAAAATAGGCAGGTTTAGGGAGATTTCTGAATAAAGAGGGTCCATGGGGAAGGAAAGCATAGATGAGGGGTTGGAGCCACCAGAAGGCATACATTTACAGAGGAAAAAAAAAGTGGTGCCACAGATTAAGGGGAGAGGAAGACCTCCATTCACAGAAGATAAGGAAAAGCCACAGGGTATGGGGGAAAAAGGAAACAAACTTTCACAGAGGATAAAGAAATGCTGACAAATGGGAGAAAGAAAAACAGATTTCCACAGGAGACAGAGAATTTTACCACTGACGCGGGAGAGAATAAGGGGAGCACCATGTGGGGTTTGGGCTTTGAAGCTGATATTCTGCAAAAGAGTGACCAATGAGAAGGGAGTATCCCATTGAGATAAAGAATTACAGCCTTGATAAACCTTAGCAGCAGAGAGCTTAGTGGGTTACCCTCTTGGGACCCCCTCCCTACCTGGGAGTCTGTATTTGCTTCCAATAAATTTCTACCTTTTTCATCTACCACCTCTTATCCGGGGCTTCATTCTTCGAATCCATCTGGACAAGGACCTGGGAAAGAAATCACCCTTGCATCCTGTTCAGGAAAACAACCCGAATCAGAAGCAAGATGTCAGGTATGTTAACACATATAAAATCCCCTTGGATTGCTGGATTTTTGGAAGTTGATTTTTCTGACATCATCTTATCCAGGCAAGACAAAGAAAATGCATGCCAACTTCTGAAAGGAACCCAAGTGCCTTCTGAACCTGGTAACCTTACCTTCTTCACCCGCATAAGCCAGAATGGACCGAGATCGTATCTGTTTCCCTTCTGTGGTTTTCCCTGAGCAGGTGTGTGAGCAGGAGGACCAGGCAGACCACATGGTGAGCACACAGTCCCTTGGGCACGGGGCATAACAGGCGACAGGGATGGGGAAGATAGCATCTCTGCACAGCTGTCTGTCAACTTCTTCTCCTGGAAAAGACATCATCATAAACACTCTATCGTCTATATATATAAAAAGTCAGTGACCGGATGCCATAATGACTGGATGCTATGATGCCCACTATGGCCACTGAACCGGCCTGATCAGGGGGTGGGGCTGGCTGGCCAACCACCTGCGGCCCCTCCCCCCAGGTAGCCCTGCCTCTGATGGGCCCCCACCACCCCGATTGGCCCACAGCTCCTCCCCTGGGCTGGCCCTGCCCCTGATCACTCCCCCTAACCCAATAGGGGGTCAGGCTGGCCCGCCAACTTCCTGAAGCCCCACCCCCAGCCGGCCCCACCCCTGATGGGCCACCACCCAGATTGGCCTGTGGTCCCTCCCCGCAGTCAGCTGCGCCCCCGATTGACCACCCCTACTCTGATCAGGGGCAGGGCCAGCCAGCCAAGCACCCATGGCCCCTCCCCCAGGCCGCTGGCTCCCAATCGGCCCCCCAACCCTATTTGGGGGAGGGGCCAGCCGGCCCACCACCCACAGCCCCTGCCCACATCCGACCCCACCCCCAATCAGCTCCGACCACCTCAATCAGCCCATGGCCCTTCCCCCCTGCCAGCTCTGCCCCTGACACCAACGGGGGTGGGGATGGCCAGTCAACCTCCCACGGCCCATCCCCTGGCCACTGACCCCCAATGGCACCCCCCCACCCCATTCGGGGGCAGGGCCAGCTGGCCAACCACACACATTCTCTTCCCACGCTGACTCTGCCCCCAATTGGCACCCCCACCCCAATCAGGGTGGTGCCTGCCAGCCAATTGCCGTCAGCCCCTCCCCACAGCTGGCCCGGCCCTGATCCAGCCCTGATCAGGGTGTGCTGGCTGGCCAACCTCCTGCTGTCTCCTCCTCCCAACAGGCTTGGCCCTGATCCGCCCTGATTGGGGCTGGCCGGACCCCACCCATGCACGAATTCATGCACTGGGCCTCCAGTATTTAAATAAATGTAAACTGAGCAATTGAAGCCAGATGGTCACCAAGATAAATTAGGTTATTTCCCTTTTGTTCTTAGTTAAATATAAAGGCAAAAGTGACCAGCCAGATGTTAAAACCACAGAAAAAAGAATATATATATATTATTATAAATATATATATATATATAACTCTATAATATATATATGTGTATATATATGTATATATACACATATATATAAAGACTTATTTATGGGTAACTACTAGTATCAATCTACATATCTTCTTCTATTATATCAAGCTTAGGTATATAGAGATCAAGTACATTGTTGAAACTATTTTTATGCTGCAGATACTTTCCCAGTAAATAATTTTACACTTAAAAAAAGGAGCATCAATTAAATATGTTTCTCTCTTTATTTAGTTATTGGAGATGAGCCATCACTTATAAATAATGACTCTATCCATAGAAGGAATCATATGTTTTCATGTCCCAACTCATAGGTATCTCTATTTGCAAGCACTCTAGTGTCTTGCAGAGAATTTAATTATGCACACTTGGCAACCTTTTTCTTTCATTAAAAAATTAGTTCATTAGTTGGAAATAGCCAGAAAATGTAAATGATAGGATAGCATTATAAAACCCCTGTTTAAGAAGGTCCCATTGTGGGAGGGGGAAAATGACAAAGTAAGGAAATGGCAGAAGTATGATGGTTTCCCTTATGCGCTTAAAAATCTCCAGTGGCTTCCTATTGCTGTTAAGATAGAGACCAGGTTTTTTAAAAGTTTACAGTACCTCAAATGACCTGGCTGTTGTGTCTCTTTATAGCTTCATCTCACTCTACTTCCTCCTTTGCCCTCGAAATCCATTTAGTATTTGTTGAATGAATACAATGAGATATACAACAGGCCAATGAGAAAGAAAATGCTGTTGCTGTTAATAGATGCCAAAGATAACTGAAATAATTACAAATAAATAATCAGAATAGAGAGTGGAAAAAGTCTTAACTCGGTGGCTTAGCTGGTTAATGTAGGGTGCTAATGAGGCCAATAGAACAAAGTGAAATAATATACAAACAAACAAAAATTAATCTGGTATTTTGCCACAGAATATAACCATAATTTTGGATGACTATCAGAAATGTGTGCCCAAAGCAGCAGTCACTCAGGTGATAAAGGGTGACTGACTATGCCACCCTTCATCGCTATTAGAAAAACAACTCAAAGCCATTTCTCACTGATGGAAGGTTAGGGGCATCCATTTAACATGTAATCCTTTATTCATATACTTGAAAAACAAGACAGAAAATTAGACGTCAATTGAAATGCACTTATGTATTTACAAATACTAGTTTGCAAGCCTTAAATTATTAGGCGTATTCACTAGTGAGACTCACTAAAATGACAATTGAGTTGTCATAATATAATTCATTTTTCTTTATTTAATCTGATCTGTGGGATCTCTTTTAATTCTGTTTTTATTGGCTTTAGGGTTTGGCTTGTATTCTAATAAAACAATATGATATATTGTGGATTTATAGGAATATAGGTAGAGTACAAAATTCATAATACAAGGCATTTAATATTTTACAATTGACCAAATAATGATGAGTATTTTTCCTACTAAACTTTTGTTCTTAGTGCAAGGAGGGGCTTGCATATGTCTTATGTCCTTCATTGCTAACCTTTATTGTTCCAGCTACTTCCTTTCACTTTAATTTCCAACGTCCTGTGGAAAGTAAGGCAAGGTTGAGCTACAGTTTATAGTCAACCTGGAATTACAGTTTTATGTCTCCTCTAATAGTTACTTAATCATTTCTACTCAGAAGAATTTATTCTGTAGCAATTGAGAGTGTGCTACATGTGTGCTATTAGATTCATTTGGTGTAAGTGATACATTTTTGTTTCTTTCAACCAGTATCCCGTTCCTTATGTTAGTTCTTTTTCACATATCTTGTTCTGCTTGGCCAGGTGTATTTCCTGTAGTCACATTCCTTCTAGAGTATACCTTAACTCTCTGTGGAGCTGTTCAGACCCACCTTGGACTCAACCTTTAAGATTTCCTTAGATTCCAGCCCTTACTGCACTCCCCCAACTTTGCCAGGTGTGATCTTGTCCATGCTTGCCACTCTGAATGCTCCCACCATTGTCTAGCCATAGTAGCTTTTTCCCTATCCTCCTACAAACCAATCTCACATTGCCTCAGAGCCTTTGCATTCACTCCTCACTTTGTATGAAAATTTCAGATCTTCATACACAGCAGAGGGCTTCTCCACATTCAGGTTTCAGTTCAATTGTCTCCTTCCTAGAGGAGCCTTAATTGACCATTCACAATCTCACAGTAATTTCATTTCATTTTCCTTATAGTTTTAACCACTACTGTTCTATTTAGTTGCTTAAATGTTTATTGTCTGATACTACCACTATATTAAAAGCCCAATGAGGGCATAATCCTTATCTGTCTCGTTCATTATTTTATATTTAGAACCTAAAACAGAGCCTGGCACGTAGTAGACATTAAACAATCTTCTGCTAAGTGAATAAATGAATTAACTAATGTTAAGCTGTTCTTTCAGGAAACAGAATGTTGGGCTAGAGACAAATGTGAATTTAAGTACAGTATTTTTTTTATGGGTTGATTTTTAGGGAGTGAGAGGAAGGGAGGGAGGGAGGGAGAGGAGAGAGAGAGAAACATTGATTGATTTGTTGTTCCACTTATTTCCTCATTCATTGGTTGCTTCTTGTATGTGCTCTGAACAGAGATCGAACCCACAATCTTGGTGTATCGGATGATGCTCTAATCAAGTTAGCTATCGGCCAGGGCAAGTAGAGTATTTCTTAAACTGCCATGCGTTCAAATGCTCTAGGACTTTGCTAACTTGTAACCAGTGAGCAGGCAGCAAGCATATGTACCACCTGGAGGTTGCGAGAAATGCAGCATCTCAGATCCTACCCACTGAGTCATAACTTGCATTTAAAAAAATTCTCAGGTGATTCATAAGCATATAAAATCTAAGGAGCATTGCTCTAGGATTTTTTTCCCTTTTTTTTTTTTCCTTGTGGTTTGAATAGAACCAGACTGCCTCTTGAAAGGGCAGCTGTATAAGACAAATTCATCTTGATTTCATACCTAACATCATTTGTTTCTCTGTAGGATTTCCCTTTATACTTGGATGAAAACCTTCATTCACTGAATAGTTACTGATTGCCCATCTTTTGTCAGGCACTGTGCTATGAATATTGTATGCATCATCTCACTTAATGTCCATAGTAACCTTTTTGAGGTATAATTGACATATACATTATATTAGCTTCAGGTATACAACATAATGATGTAGTAGTTGTATGTATTGCAGAATGCACAATAAGTCTAATTAACATCTGTTCCCATACATAAATTTTTTTTCTTGTGATGAGGACGTTTAAGATTTACTCTCTTAGCAACTTTCAAATATGCAATACAGTATTATTAACTATAGTCACCCTGCTGTACATTATACCACTGTGACATATTTTATAACTGAAAGTTTGTATCTTTACAACAACCTTCTAACATGTGTTACTATATTTTTTTATTTTAAAGGAAAATTGAAACTCAACAAATTTAAGTTTACTGTCTCAGATAATAGAAGTTTGACGACAGAAGCATGGAATTGAGTTCTAGTCAATTCCCTAATCTACTTTTTAACTGGTATGATGGTAGGGAGAACGCAAGATGAAAAGGAAGTTAATAATGGATGATCCTTTGTCTACAAAAAAGTCAAGAAACTGGCACTGTAAGTTGCTTCTCAAGGCACAGTCATGCACGGTTGCAGCCACACACTGTCTCAACTACAAAGAATATGCATTGTTTACATGTCCAGGGTTAACTATTTTGGGTTATAGCAATTGACCAAATAGCAACAAATCTGAATATACGGAATCATTCAGCTCTTTGACTTTGCTTTCAATGGATGCTTTAATCAACTCAATTAATTGACCACTGACTGGAATTAATAGGAGCTATACTCTTAAGCTGAATCTCCAGCATTCCAGACATCAGTCATCTGGGAAATATTAGAAACAAATA